AATAGTAAGGCCCTTGTTACTAGTAGCGATGCACTTGTTCCTAATAGAAACAATATATAAATACATCAAAGCTCCTCGGGCGCGAAGTCACGTCGTCATGTGATGCGTGGTTGGGTGATGCCATGTGATTTGCGGCGAAATGCGTGGTCGTCTAAGGCGTTGGGTGGCTGCAAACAATGACTTGCACGCATTGCAGCAAAGCACAGTTGACCAGAAGCGAAGCCCAAAGCATCCCAGAGCTAACTGTTAGCTAGCTATCAGGTTGGAGGCCATCGCTATTAAGAGGAGCCCAGGCTTGGTGCCGATGCTAAGTGGCAATGGCTTGGAGACAAAAGGCATCAAGTCAATCCACAGCCAGGTCGTCACTCAGCCGTTGCCCGGGACGCTAGATCTTTGCTTTCCTTCCGAGATTCAGAATGTTGCTTTTTACAATTATTTCTGAAATAGGTTTAGTATTTTTATCTATTGTTCGTCAAACAACTTCATTTCTTTCTGTCTTGCGCTTCATTTCGGGGCTTGTCCGACGATCAATGGCTCAAGACGTGCGAATGATTCGCAGGGCGAAACCGCCCAGAGGCCACGGCGGTTTCGGCAGCCGTGGCGTCCGGTCGCGAGGCAGCTGGACGTGTCGGGCGACCTCCCTCAAGGGCGCACAAAAGGTGCAGCGTGTGGTCGTGTGGTGAAGCTGGCGATGGGGCCGCCAGCTATGATCACTCGCGGTACATGACAAACCACTAATAGTAATAACCATGTTCGCTACTAGGGGCTCCCGGCATCGCTGCTAGGAGCAAGGACGCTACTAAGGGCTCCTGGCCTTACTACTAGGAACAAGAAGCTACTAGGGGCCCCTTCTTAGAATTGAATTTATATAATTGGATACCTTGACATCACCAACATGGCCTTTCACATCGTCACAGCCCGATACTTCGCCACGTCAAGAGTCCACCAAACTCAAACATCCCTCGCAGACATCACAGACCGAACACATGGGCCGAACAGGTCCGCAGTGCGTTCCATCCGGATCCAAAAGCTGGAAAGGTGAGACAAGGCATACCAAAAAGGCTTGAAGCATGCTTGGCGATGGCTTGTGGAATGAAGCATGGAGGAGCATGGTTTTGGTTGTGACGGTCATCTCGGGCCTCTTCATGTCTCTGGAATTTTCGGATGTGCGCTCCAGAGTTCTGATAGTTTTCTTTCCATGGATCACGATGTTTCTCTGAATGATCTGCAAAAAGGATGATCCTCGGAGAACACCATTGGGAACAAGCTAAAGAAACTTTGGTCTTGGTCATCTTGGCCTTGACACCAGAAAAATGCAAAGACATACAAACTGTTGGAAGCGTCTTGGAGGCCGTGACAATTTCACTGTTGGGAGCTGCATACATGCTGGGTACTTTTGTGCTTGGTCCTGATGCTTCTACCCATCGGAATTCGCGGCAAATAAAACCAGCGTAAGTTTAACAAATTCATGTTCAGAGTTTGCGCAAGTTTGTCTCTGAAGGTCATTAGAGCATCGCAGTTTGGGCCAAAGGAATCAGAGGCCCTGCGTGTCGCCGCTGACACGATCGATGGGAAATCGATCCATTTCGAGGTCAGCGCTCATCGCTAGACCGAGCAACGACCTCGCGCACCAGTCGTAGCTTCAACGACCGGGGGGGGCCCCCAGGCGATGGAATGAGATGTGTGGAAGCAGCCTGAGGGTCAATCGACCCACGTGTTCATTTCATTACAGAAATGCGATGGCCTCCAACCTAAGAACGCCGCAGGAGGACACGCGTTCACACAGCTGGGTGCCGGATCGCGATTCTCGGGGCCAAACTTGGAACGACACATCACCTCATGCAAAACAGCCGCTGAAGTTCGCCGGGAGTGGGAGCTCTGGCAATTTTCCAAGGCCACCATTCACGATGTACACACTTTGGTGAGAATGTGAAACAAGTAAACGGACAGCCTATGACGGTTGATCCTGATTTCCACCCTCCTCCATGATACTTCCGCGAGAATTCTCACGGACCTACAAGGAATCAACCTTCATATGCAACCTTCTCTGCTTCCATGTTGGAATTTCTTTTATTCTCTCCTCTAGGTTCTCATAGATTCTCCCATTGTCTTCCTGTCCTTTTGAGTCAACCCAACATGAGAAGCGAAACGGGTCTCGAATTGACCAGCCGGGAGGTGGCTCACCATCTTCTTGCAGCGATGCCCTGCTCCCTGGAACTGCCGGTCTTCGTGCATCATTTTCCGCCTAAGTGGCCGTAGCGATGCCCCTAGCTTCTTGCTCGTAGCGTCCTTGCTCCTAGTAGCGATGCCCTTTGCTCCTAGTAGCTTCTTGTTCTTCCTAGTAGTAAGGCCAGGAGCTCCTAGTAGCGTTCTTACTCCTAGTAGCGATGTCCTTTGCTCCTAGTAGGTTCTTGTGACGTTCGTAGGTTGTTGAATGTGGTTGTTGATTACCCACGAATCCCAAGAATACTGGGCACACACTAGATATCCGACATATCGACTATCGTAGTAATGAACAGGTTGCATGAGAAAAAGGCTTCATTGACAGAGACTCATGTTGGGCGGACTGTCGCAAGGCTTTTGGAACCAAAAACAACACGTCTTTCCTTCCGCTTTGAGGCCCCCCGCAGCCACAGAAGCACCAGCCAGCGCCCTCCTCCACTCTCTCCACCCGGGTTTCTGGTTGAGGCCGATCCTCATCCTGCGAGGGTCGGGTGTGCCGAACGTCAAACCAGTGAAGAACCCGGTGAGTCAACCGACATTGAGGCATGAGGAGAAACCGCTTTGTGTCGAGAACATCGGTGAATTCACTGACAAGTGCATGTTGCTACTAGTAGCAACAAGCTACTAGTAGCGATGCCCTTGTTACTAGTAGCGATGCACTTGCTACTAGTGGTAGTTGGGGATGACTTGAATTCACCGTTAGCAGCGGTCGATGCTGTTCAACCCAAACTCTGGTCGACGCTGCTCTCTCCTGGGTCTGCTCAAAGTCCTCAAGCTTCCGCATGGTTTCAGTCAACTCGGCAAAGTCTGCCTGCCCAGCTGGAACAGTCAGCAGGTCACAGGAGATGCAAGTTGCAGTCACTTTCACTCTTACAAGTAATTACTTACAAGTGTCTCTATCTCAACAGCGTCTGAACACTTCTATCACAGAAAGATGGACTGGATCATTCCAAAAAACCTACAAGAAAGAAAGACATATGAAGATGCAAATAAACCATCGCGTCACATCGCAAGAACGGAAAAGAAAAGGTGTAGTCTCTAGGACCCGAACTGCCATCTGGTCAGCAGAGGATGCCTTCTTGTCGTTCTCGTCCTCGCGAATTGTTCAAAATAAAGAGACATTACCAAAGGTTCTAAGACGCAGAAGAAACAACCGAAACATGAAGAAATCCGCCGACCCCGGCCTATAGCCAAAGCCTAGGCGGGGAGGCGCCTGGGACACCGCAGGGTGAAGCAGTTGGCCAAGCCTAGCAGAACCCTTCCAAGCACTTCCAAAGGCCTGTCCGAGGCCTCGCCAGCTGGCAGGCCT